AAAAATGAAAAATTTTTACGAGAACACTGAGCTTTTTTTTTTTTTTTTTTTTTTTTAATATTAATATTGACCTTTAGAATTCTTTCGACAAAATATATAGTACAATCATGACTGTTATGGCCTTATATTCCATCATTTGTTGTATCGTAATATGACTAAAAAAAAATTTAAATAAAAAAAAACAAAAATATAGCGCAAAATTTTCCGGTCCGATGCCCTTTCGCTCACGATTGAAAATCCAGTTGAATCAGGTACTCGAGTCGATAACGAATTTCAACAGCGAGAGAAGTAAAGTAACGTTGTTTCAACGCGAGAAAACGAGTCTCAGGATCGACGTTTATGTCCGCGATTCTCTCCGAACAACGGATGAAACTAGACTAACATCGGCATTGTCGATTATTCCCTCTTCGCGCGACAGATTCCGAGGACTCGTCACGAATACAATATGGCTTGTCTCTTGTAGCGCTCTCGATGGCCTCATCGGGGCGAGACTTCGATCCACGCACCCGGGCCTTCTCCGACGAGGAGCTCAAACCCCAACCGATGATCAAGAAATCACGGAAGCAGGTCAGTGGACAAATCACGCGTGCTTTGATTTCGCCATTTCTCTCCTGATCGGATTCTTCTCTTCTTTCCTCGTTTTACTTGTCCCTCCTTTTTCTAATCCTTCTCATTTCTTTTCTCTTTTCTATTTTGAAATGTTATTAAATTGAACAGAAAGGGAATGACAATGCAATTGGCTTCTTTTTATTCTTGTCTTGGATAATCTCGTAAAATTTGTTACATCTGACAGAGTCAAATTGCAAATTAAATAGGGTTTTTCCCTAAATTTGTAATTTCTCTCCCCCCACGACTTGTATTTATCTTTTGTGATTTTCTACTCTACTACTATCTTCTCTCATTTTTTTCTCATCTTTTCTTTTCACTCTTTTATTTCTGTTGAAATGTTAAACAGAAAGGGAATGACAATTCGTGCAATTGGCTCTCTTATTTCTTGGATAATCAACAAATGTGAAATTTGTTTCATTTGGCAAAAAAAATTGCACGGAAAATTTGTTACATCTGATAGAGTTAAATTGCAAATTAAATAGATTTTTTCCCCTAAATTTGTCCTTTTTCTCTCCCCACGACTTGTATTTATCTCTTGTGATTTTCTACTCTACTACTATCTTCTCTCGTCTCATTTTTTTCTCATCTTTTCTTTTCACTCTTCTCTTTTATTTCTGTTGAAATGTTAAACAGAAAGGGAATGACAATTCGTGCAAATGGCTCTCTTAATTCTTGGATGATCAACAATTGTAAAATTTGTTTCATTTAGCAAAGAAAATTTTACAGAAAATTTGTTACATCTGACAGAGTCAAATTGCAAATTTTTTTTTCCTAAATTGCGTTTTGATTTGTCCTTTTTCTCCTCCCCACAACTTGTATTCATCTTTTGTGATTTTCTACTACTATCTTCTCTCCTCTCCTTTTTTCCCCTATTTTTATTTTTTCTCGTCCTTTCTTTTTTTTCTTTAATTCTTCTCTTTTCTTATTTTTATTTTTTTTCTCGTCTTTTCTTTTTTTCTTTAATTCTTCTCCTTTATTTCTGTTGAAATGTTGTTAAACTGAACAGAAAGGGAATGACACTTCGTGCAATTGGCTCTCTTATTTCTTGGATAATCAACAAATGTAAAATTTGTTTCATTTAACAAAGAAAATTACACGGAAAATTTGTTACATCTGACAGAGTCAAATTGCAAATTAAATAGGATGTTTCTCCTAAATTTGTGTTTTGGTTTGTCCTTTTTCTTCCCCCACGACTTGTATTTACTTTTTGCGATTTTTTACTCTACTACTATCTTCTCTCCTCTCAGTTTTTTCTCCATTTTTATTTTTTTTTCTCGTTTTTTCTTTTCTTCTTTAATTCTTCTCTTTTATTTCTGTTGAAATGTTGTTAAACTGAACAGAAAGGGAATGACAATTCGTGCAATTGGCTCTCTTAATTCTTGGATGATCAACAATTGTAAAATTTGTTTCATTTAGCAAAGAAAATTTTACAGAAAATTTGTTACATCTGACAGAGTCAAATTGCAAATTTTTTTTCCTAAATTGCGTTTTGATTTGTCCTTTTTCTCCCCTCACGACTTGTATTTACCTTTTGTGATTTTCTACTCTACTGCTATCTTCTCTCCTCTCAGTTTTTTCTCCATTTTTATTTTTTTTCTCGTTTTTTCTTTTCTTCTTTAATTCTTCTCTTTTATTTCTGTTGAAATGTTGTTAAACTGAACAGAAAGGGAATGACAATTCGTGCAATTGGCTCTCTTAATTCTTGGATGATCAACAATTGTAAAATTTGTTTCATTTAGCAAAGAAAATTTTACAGAAAATTTGTTACATCTGACAGAGT